TTCTCAAAAGTGGATGCGTCGGACGTGGATAAACAGTGGTCTAAAATGGAAAGTTTGATGGAACGGAGAACATGACGGTCGAACATCACAGCACGCCCCCCAGCGCTCTCCAAATGACTGATGGCCTGAAGAGCTCGAGCATTAGAGCTATTAGCAGCCCGTGTGTGCGGAAAAGGCTAGAAAGATTGTGGTCGCGTAGAAAGAGAAAGCAAAGATCCTGAGCAGTTTTTTTCATTTTGACTATTGATACTCTGCAGTGACATCGCTCTGGGGGGGATCTACCTGCACAGTGCACACTTTAGCAAAGGAATTTTTTCAAAAGAAAGTTTTTAACAAATCTCAAGACAATAATACAAAATGTGTATTAAAGTTTTTTGGTGGGAGTCTCTCTGGATATGCAACTGTATGACATTAAACAGCTCTACCTTACATTACATTTATTCAGTTACAGGTGGTTTTATAGCTCAAAAATACCTAGAAAAACAGGTATTCTGACTGTGAGCGGGTCGTCTCTCCACAGATCTGACCCGTGCCCGTGTTTGGCTGATGGGACATCAACAGCTTTCATAAAGGTCGGATTTTGTAGGATTTTTGTGTATTCTTACAATATGAACTTACAACTTTTTCAGTATGAACGTTGAAGCACCTAAAAGTTAACTTCATAAGAGTTAGCCTAGCTCCGCTCTTGCAGCTCACGCTCTCACCAAATCAGAACTGCATGTTTTCAACGTCACACGTTGGGCAGCACTGGGCCAAAAATCAGCAAGTAAATGCAGAATTAAAAATCTCTTTTGGGCCCATCCGCCAATGAGCAGAGACCATTTGAAAATAATATGACGCCATTTTTGATTTTTTATTTTTTTTTTTTTTTAATTTGGTTTTTATTTCGAGTTTTTGCCAAGAGAGAAACTATAATCATACGTAGTACATATACATTGTAAACAACAGAAAACCACATTTCTCGAAAAGGAGTGGGAAGAAGAAAAACTTATATTAACCCACCCCTCTTCATGACGGTTTCAAAAAATTATGTCTGTTTTGTACACTGATCACAGAACTTTACAAATATTTTCATATAGCAAAATAAAATGCATCTTGAAATAATAAATTATTATCTTGGATTCATCTTCCAGATGTTGTTGTAGCTATATGGATCTGACTTGTAACTTGGTCTGGTTTGGTCTCCATGAAGATAGAAAGGTTTACATTTCAGATAAAGCAATGACATCTCCATGAAGAAAAGCATTTAACAGACCCTCCACCAGAAAAGTTACGCAGTGCACATTTTAAACAACACATTTTCAGGAGTCAGTCAATATGAGCGTTCGTCATGTTTTGATTTTCAACAAAAAGGTGAGAGGGACTTGTTTAAACACAGTCGGCTCATCTTTTGTAGTTCCAACCAAGTCAGCTTTTTCTGGTCAGATTGTGTTATAATAAAGCTCAGATTAAATCTAACTTGAGTAACCGAGCTTCAGACAGAGTTGTGCTTTCAGTTAGCATCACCCCCACAGGGAATATTGTTTACATCAGCGGCAACATATCTCTAGATTTAGTTGCAGTTGTCGCCTGACTGGTTTTAACATTTGCGGTTTTTACATTTGCATATCTCAGTACATGGAGTGCAATTGCTTGAAATAGATCATGTGATATTTGTGGAAATAAACTATAAACCTAAAGCCACACTACATAACTTTTTAGCCAATAAACAGATTAAAAGCATGTTTTTTTTTCCACATGGTTATGTTTCTAGCACTGAAATTTACTTTACTTTACTCTGAGCAGGCTTGCATCTCCTTAAACCAAACGAAAAGTGACCTTCTCCAGCTTGGTTCGATGAAAATTCAGTTCTTTTGCCGAGAATGTTTATCAATACGGTTTTAACTTTTTATTGCTGTGGAATCGGGACACCCACCACCTCCAGAAAGTTGCACACTGTTGCTTTTAAACTAAACTGAAATAAATTTGCAATGTATTCCATGTTTTTTATCTCTGGGTCTGTTTGCACGAGAACACGTGCGGGTAAAAACGACAAATATTTTATCGGAAGTGCCTTTCGTTTAGACGTTGACAGCAATTTTGGGGCTTAAAAACGCAAAAATCATATTAACTCTGGAGGGTGGTTTCAGATTTTTGCGTATTTAAGTCAAGTTTTTCCCCACAAGCGTAATAGTTGGATCTCTGTGTAATAAGTCAACTGTGTTTTAATGTCATTTTCCGTCCCTACACTTGTATTTGTTAATATTGGAGTTGGGAAACTTGAACTCAATGTATCGAAAAAGCTGGATCCGTGCATGCCTACCAAGAATCCTAATCGCAACACTTGTGCGGCCCTACTTAAAACTCTTGCTCTCTTACAGTGGAATATTGTCGCCTCTCTCTGGAACTGCTGTTGTGAGCCTCATCATTTTGGTCTTAAAATGTTCATATTGACCTGCTCTACATGATTCAGGTGTTTTTATTTCGCCATCTTGTCCACTTGGCTCCAAATTTGCTCCTGTAACCTCTAGCATCGTGAGCTTCCTTTGAGTGGAGTCGAACACTGTGGGTGACGCCGCACTCACTTAGTCCACTTCTTTAGACCGTCTACGCTTAAAACCGAGGATTAACCTAAAATGAGGACTACAAATGTGCATGAAATCTGCATTCAGATTTGCAGAGGTGAAAGCAAATGCCAGAAAACTATACTGGCTCGTCCAAATCTAGGATACGGTATGATTAGTGCGCAATAATCTCGGAAAGATCTTGAGTAAGGGTCTCAGGAGTACCTTGCTGCAGGAATTAGTCTAACCAGGGCACCCCAAATCCCACCCATGCACGGCGTAAACAAGCAAACTGCACGTAGAATGGAAAGGTAGAAAGAAACCAGAACCTTCTTGGTGTAGGGTGACCAGATTTTCAAAATTCTAAACTGGGACACACCGGGGTTTGGATGGTTGCTACAAATAAAATTGTGAAAAGAGCGTGTAAGATTGTGCGTTCTCGTGTAAATCATCATCTGAGGAACTTCTGTCACTGCATTATTTTTATTTTTATTTTTTTTTGCTTTATGATCATTTGCAAACAGTTTTCTGTATTTTGGCTAAATAAATGACAATTTATGCTCCTATTTACTGTTGTCAGGAACCAGATTAATAAAAAAAATTGTGACTGCCCTGTTTTAGTCTTAGTTTAGTCCTGATTTAGACCTAGTTTAGATAAAATCTGTCAAAAAATAGGGACATTTCTTGTATAAAACTGGGGCAAATCACTGGTTTTGAATAAATCTGCTGGGACAGGGGGACACAGGGCTCAAAACTAAGACTCTCCTGAGTAAAAAGGGATGTCCGGTCACCCTATCTTAATATGAGGTGAAAGTGCTAACTACAAACACAACACAAAGCTAAAATATAAAAATAGGTCAGTCACAGTACATACAAGAGTCAGATTTGTCTCATTGGATTGCCGCTGAGTTGCTAACCAGCCGATAAGTGCCTCTTCAGCAGTGACAATGACACCTATGCCCTGCGATGCTTATGCAACCATAGAGCCGTATTCATTACAACCTTCAGAACGGCTCCTTCTGTAGCACGAACCGAAACAGCAGGGAACAATAGGGCAAAAATATAATGTAACAACCCTGCCAATCTGAGGTGATTTGTATTTTAGACTGATTGTGTCGTTGGAATATTAGAGTTCAGATACAGATACTCTAGTTTTAATTGTGCGCCGATACTAGTGCAATGATGTGATTTACAGAATTTATTTCCTTTTTAAAGTAAGACAAAAATGATCCAAAAGTGTTGTGTATCTGTTACTTATCCTTTTAACTACAGAACAGCTTTGAAAATACAATATGCAACACTCAGACCTTGAGCTTATTGTATTGTTTTTTTTTTTTTCCATATAGTAGCAGCCAAAACACGATCAGACAGTTTGCATCAATTTCATCCTTTTGAAAGTTTAATCCAAAATCACTTCATTTGTCTCCAAGGGACAATTTAAGCCCATGGTTAATAAAATACAATGCTAACAGAAGTCTCATCTCAACAGGCAGAGGAACCAGGTCCAGTGTCAGGACAGTTTGAGGTTACGTTTATAGGATGACTGTCTGAACAGAAGACGCAAAAGTGGTGTTTAGTCTTCATTTTTTTTAATTCCATGCATATGGTGACGCAAAACTGGTCAGATCTGCTCAATTCGCGAACGCGTTTACGTCACAGACATCACCTAGCGTCACCACCGAGCCGCCTGGCATGCATACCCAATCGAATTCCACACACTTTTGCGTCACCGTATGCACGCAGATTTCCTCCCGAAAACGCTCGTCTAAACGCGGAATAAAAAGCGAAGATACAACGCCACTTTTCCGTCTTCTGTTCAGACCGTCATCAAATAAACGTAGCCTAAAAGTTCAAACATTGAGACGTTCCAGGCCTAAGTCGGCTTGTAAATAATCTTACATCCACTTAAAGGCCCAAACAGGGAATTATCTTAACTGATATCATGGAACTGAAATGTGATCCATCAAATTTTTCAGTATTTGTTGTTCTTTGATACCAGTATTGTTATCAGTGTGCATTTGAACCCAATTCTCCTTGGTTTAAAGTGCACATTATCAAAAACCCTGAGGTATAAACAATTGAGAGAAGACTGAAATCTGAACTGCTGAAGTAATACAAGAATCTCTTGCGTTTCAGAGTTTGTTTGTTGAGGTTTGACGACGGGCACAACAAGATTTTTCTGTGAAGACTGGATATTTTGTTTGCAGAGAACATGCTATTATCTAAATCAATGCGGCCTTTGTGAACCGATAATTGCGCCAACTCAAATAGTGTTTTCACAGCGTTTGTACAGTCGATTCATAACTACTGTATTGATTGTGTAGTCCATTTTATGCTGGTTTAGACCTCGAATAGTCCTGGTTTAGATCTGTTGGTATGCAGTGTGGACCACGGGTGTGCATTAGGATGATTTGTAGTGTCATAGTTCTGACAGTGTTATTCTCTTGTCCTCCACAGCCCAGTGTTTGTGCCCTGCTCAGACATGACTGAGGTGATGATCAGCAGCACCCCCATGGACGACATCCGGCTGAGCCCCGGCAAAGACAGGCTCTCCTACCAGGTACACAAACACACGCATACAAAAGGACAGTGTCTCCAGGTACAAGCACAAACTTACACCTGGATCACAGGCCTGGTCCGATGTACAATGATTTTTCCATCAAAGAATTACGATCGAGGTGTAGTGGTGTCCTAGACAGGCTGCCGCTACCTGGTGCCTCCGCCCAATTTCATTTTCTTCCAGCGAGTAGCTCAGGAATCGGAATACACTAGACGGTTTGCAAGAACCCCAATCAGCGAAGAGCTGTGAAGCCATGACGTCAAACTCAAGTACCTGTCTGGGTCCCTTTTGTGGTACAGCACAACACTAAACAAAGCGGTCGAGATGGATGTAGATGAAGACAGACATTCTGTGTTGGCAACTATTCCTGAGATCGAGGATTTAAAGCCTAAACGAAGAGAATGTTTGAATTTTATCAAGGGGAAAGACGTTATTGCCCTATTTCCTACGGGATTTGGCGTATTATATACATTACGACTAAATAGCAGCGATTGGTTAAATAAAAACAGTACCCACCTACCGTCGAGCAAACGAATCATAATGCAGCGAGGTCAAACAGTTTCCAGATCCCAATAACACATCAGGAGAAGCTGATACATACTCCGATTCTCACTGCATGTAATACTGCAGTTTGATTTGCATTAAGAGAGGTATTCAACTGCATGGGGTAAGAAGCGTCCAAGAAAATATTAGTGTGTGTGTGGAAGTTTATTCTCTTAGCAACGATGTCAAACTAGTCTCTCCACCGTGGACTACCACATGTAGCAGATGAAAATGGTGAAATAATCAAGTGAAACTAAAAAATGTATCACAATATTTATGTATTTTTATCAGTGTCTCTTGATGTATCGCTAGGTAAATGCATGGCCATATTTATTTTACTAAAGGATGTCCGACAGTTCCCATACACATGTTTTTTTTTTTTTTTTCTGTAATAAATTGTGACTTGGATTTGCAGATCATCACCCAACTGTTGTCTCTGGTTGATAGTAAATAAACATTACATAAGGTCTTGTTGCGGACAGCCTGTGGATCTCTGCTCTGAGGCCCAGATGCAGGTGTGCATTAATAGCGGTGTCCATCAGGTGCTGATGACAAGTTCTTTCCATGCCTTTGTTTTACTGTCACTTCAGGAGCTATTCTGGACACACATGTACGGCCATGTGTCTGATGAGGCCTTCCTCTGGTTTAGCTTGCACAACACAACTCGTGTAAAAGAGCCCTAAATTGTCTCAATTAGTGAAACTGTAGCCTGCACTCTTTCTGTTTTTGTTAGTATAAATGTGGTGTTGGTGGTGGTAAGATACACTGCCAATCTGCACCATCGTCTCCTCCAACCACCGAGTGTGGAGTGAAGGAATAATAAACTGTAAAGTGTCTTTGAGTGTCCAAAAAACGCTATATCCATTATTATTATCATCATTATTATTAAAAAGGTTCTGCAATCTGAACTCTATATATTGTGTTGCCAGAGCCGTGACCTGCCGATAGACACATCCAAGTTTGTCACATTTTCAGTTTATGTGAAGGCTCAGAACCTCCAGAATTCCCTCCCTGAGATGCAGAGGCTGCACTAGAACAGATTCATGATTGGCTGCAGACGCTGGGGGTTTGGGTAGTGACCATTCAGATCAGAGAGGCGTTTTAGGTTTAAACATACTGGACTTGAGCATGGCAACTGGCAATGCAAACCAGAAACTCAAATGAATCTCATTCTGAAAACACCAAATTATAACAGAAGCAAGTTTGAAATCATGTCCAGTGGGTTTGTAATTGTGTTGAAAAGAGTCTTCATTACAATAGCTATGAGTATAAGCTATAATCTTTTGCTTCAGCTTCTGTAAATCCTTCAAGGAGTGACGTGTTAAGGCCGTGCGTTTTATACTTCTCCACCAAATCTATGCGGAAGTGCTGCACCACTCCCTGACGCACATGAAAGCCAATCAGAAAGCTTGCGGTGTTTGCCGAAGGTCCTCCAAATGCAAGGGCTGTGATTGGCTGCTCCACAATTACTACATGGACAACTGATTAAAACAGCTCGGAACAGCTACAGTCTGACACGGAAATGTTTGCATCTGCGCCTAATATTCTACTACTATTCATGCTTACGTCACAAACTGGGAAGACATTTGGAAACACGCGATGACGACTTCCTTCAGGCTCCGTTTGCAGTAGGAAGTCTGACAATCTAGGAAAAATGAGGAAATGTCTGTTTTCTTCATCTACATGTCATTGTAGTGTTCCGTTACGTTTGGCTAATCAACAATTCCAACCATACCTCAGTTTTCATAATTTCCACTCTGACGCACAACTCCGAGTGCACTGTGAATTACAGACGAGGCACCAAATTCAAGATGTTTCCAAACGGCACATACATATACAGTAGGAATGTAACAATATGCAAGTCTCACGATACGATATAGTCACGGTATGAACCTCACAGTACGATATTTATTGCGATATCCCGGGAAAGCTCACGATATGATGGTGAGGTTCACAATTAGGGATGTAACAACAATATTGAAATTTCATGGTATATTTATTCCGATATTTTGTAGAGGCTAAACAAAACGGTTAATATGCTACTTTTTCCTCTTAAAATGCCTTGACAAGACTTAATCCAAAGAACTAAGATTTGAATGTGCTTATAACTTATTTCTCCTTGTAGTCTGCACTGAAATGGAGCAAAGGATCATGGTCGATGTAGTTCCCTCAGTCTTTTTTTTTTTTTTAGCTATTGCTGCACCATAACTCTTAATTTAAGCAAAGAGACTTGTAATTCAATATATATTTTGAGGATCCACGATATTATTGAGAACTTTGACGATACAATGTCACAATATTTCGGTTATTCTTCATTTTATCGCTGATCATTTACTTCATTGGGTTTTATCACAGTCGGTCGGCGAGCCCAGTGTCGGAAACTACATCGGAAGTTGTCATCGCATGTTTCACGCAAGCATGAATAGAGCCTGTGATTGTTTATTGTCACAGTAAATTAAAAAAAAATAGTAATTTATTTAGAAATAGTTTGGATTCCTTTTATAGGTCTGCAGACCTATAAACGGCTCCAAATCTATCAGTTTCATTTTAATGATGCAGCAAATAAATGTTGATATTTGTAGACCATGCAGAATCGACATCATTCTGTTTTATAATAAGTTTTCCAGAGCAAGACCCATAATAAGAGCAACACAATACCACCCTTAAACTACTCATCGCATGCATGAAAATCAAATGGAAATCCAATTTAACCTCCACAAAGCCAGCTTCCTTCCTTATAGCATTTCAACCTAGCATGACTAACGCCATCCGCTCCTGTTTACCGTCAGCCCCTCAGCCCACTTCCAGCTGTATCCACTGCAGATTATTGAAATGACTGGGCCCGTGCAGAGGATAAGGAAGTGGCTGTATCCATACTGTAGTAATCTCCAGTGGCTGCTGACACGCTCGCCAGCCCACTCTGAAGGCTCCTGAAATAGCCCTCACTGTGCAGGGCGAGGTGCGAGGTGCGAGGTGTGAAGGGTGGAAGTCAGACCGGCTGTGACATGTCAGGGCACCAGGAGCAAGGGCGCAACGGCGTGTCCGTGTGCCCTACAGAGGACGGACATAGGATTGTAATAGAATTTGAGCTGTTGCAAGTTATGTTCTCTAAAAATGACAAAATATTGAGTTTCAAGTTTGTTCAAGGTCCTATATTACACAAAATTGACTTTTGAGAGCTTTTAGAGAAGTTATAATGTTACCTCGTCCAAAACAAACCTGGAGTTTAGTTTCATTCACACATTGTCAGTCTGTCTACATCAACATCTCTTCTTTCTTTCTCTCTCACTCACTTTCACTCACTCACCTTTTCTTCAGTCTCCTTTTCTTTCTTTCTCTGTCTCTCTCCTTTTTTCTCTCTCGTTCTCTCTCTCATTCCCTCTAGTTTTCTCTCTCGTTCTCTCATTCCCTCTCTCGTTCTCTCTCTCTCCTCCAGCCAGCAGTGCACAGCTCAAAATGCTCTATTCCACCTTGTGATGTCATCAAGTTCATAGCTACCTTTTTTATCTATCTTGAATTCGGTAGAGATTGGAAGTTCCAGGGCTGAAATGATCCAAATCAGGGGGTCATCAAACTAAGGCCTGTGGTCCGACTCCAACCCTCCACAGCCCTTTGACCAGCCCCTCTGCCCCTCACCATTTGAACTGGCCCTACGAGGCAATCCTTAAAAGATGTCATGGTCTATTAATGACTTTTTGGCAAATAATAACACGTCTGCATCTTGTAATTAGTTGTTTTTCAATTAAAAAATGATATTTATATAAAGTATTTATAATTAAATAGGATGCATTTACATTTGCTGCCGAATTTTGACAGGCTCGAGATCAAACGGTGATAGTCAACGCTCATTCGGAGTTCTGTAGTGCAGTTACGAACAGCTAAATGGCTCGTGTTAAAGTACTAAAACTTGACAGCGAGTGCCGAGTTTTCAAAGAACAGTGGAAGATCGATTATTTTCTTTGTTCAATGTAAGGTCCATGCAGTTTGTCTAATATGTAAATGTGTGGCGGTCTTCAAAGAATATAATATGTGTCGTCAGGGTCGTACATTTGTTATACGGCCGACCCGACCCCGGCCTCCATCAGTCAGGAGCGATAATGTGGCCCCCAGAGAAAAAAGCTTGGTGACCCCTGGTCAAAAGTGAAAGTGTTCAGAGTTTAATCACAAGGTGGTGGATTGTTTTGTTTGAGAGAGGAACTCAGCCTAAATATGCAGGATTCGTGTGTTAAACATTTGAGAATGAAACACACCAGGTCTGTTTTTGACGAGGAAATATATGATATATAACATGATCTCTTTAAAGAACACTTACTAGAGCTTGTGTCTGCTCTATAGTTATAACCTAATGCCTTGGATCTACATTATATTTTGGACCTTTTTTAAATTGCACTTGCAAATCTAAACTGAGTTGATAAGAAAATGGTCAGCTTACGTCCATATGAAACATAGTTGAACCTAATGGGGAGCCACCATCGCCGTAAATGTCATCACAACAAAGCACCACGAGCTGTTGGCGCTTTCAATGGGATAGCTGCAGATCACACTACCAAGCACCTTTTTTTTTTCTTTAATTTGTGCCAAAATTGGTTTAAAACAATCAATATTAATTTCCTGAACACAAAATAGACTTGAAATCTTTGCTATTTAACACAAAACAATAAAATGTCTTCCTCCAAAGTCTTTTACAGACAGAGGATTGGCTGTGGAATTCTCCATTAAGTGAACTGCTCATTGAAATAGTTCTGTTCTTTGACATCAGTGGTTCATTGCGTTATATTTTTAGACATTTTACATCATAATTTTGATCTAAAACAACATTATACAGGGTTCCCACTTTTTTCCCACTAATAAAATTTCAAAACTTTTCCATTACTCTTTTTTTTTCATGACCTGAAGTGAATTTTCCATGACTTTACAGCACCTACATGTGTAGAATTGATCAGACTTTTAGGCCTAAATATGAAATGTGAACTCTTTCCACTCAACTTTATGGTTTGGTTTTATATTTTAACATTCAAAATATTGTCAGTGCATTTACTCTCATCTCTCTTATGCAAAAGGTGCAGACGTTCAGAAATAAGTTATCGTGAGGCTATTATGATTAACAGAATGCTGTAGTTACATGAAAGGGATACTAAAATTCCATGACTTTTTCCCAAACTTTCATTGGATTTACAAAATTCCATGACTTTTTCCAGGCCTGGAAAACTAGATATTCAATTTCCATGACTTTTCTAGGATTTCCATGTCAGTGGGAACCCTGATAATAAAAGAAACTGGTCCCGCTGACTTCCGGGTTGAAAACTGTAGAGCAGATTTCCACCTGCCCCTTTTAGTTTTTTTCATTTGTGCTGAAAAGACTATTAAACATATTTATTTCCTGAACATGAACAATGCAGAGTTTATATATTTTTAACACAGAAAAAGTCACATTTCTTTCTCCAAACTCTGAACTCTGCCCCAAACCACATGCTTTTCCCGACTGAGGATTGGCTCTCCATTAAAAACACCCGACGTCCAAAACATGCAGCCCTATCATGGTTTTCAGAATGATGGGAAACTTGGAGCCGTTGCCGTGGCGATTAACAAGTTGACAACAAAACACAGTGTCTCTTGAATGAGGGGGGTAAAAGCCCTCAATCCTCTGCAAACATGTTCTGAAATGCTCTCAGGGAGGTATGCGAGTCCATGTATAAAAGCTGCATAGTTGTTTTATCAGACGAGCGTCCACATTCACAGAGTATTTTTAGCTGCTTTTGTGCGTTCCTCGGCCTCATCCATCTCCTGGAGGAATCCGTGTGGACACAGCTGGATCTTCTCCATCTCCTCCCTCTCCTTCCTCCGTCGCTTTCTCTTTCTTCCACATCTCCCGCCTTTCTCTTCTCCAGCTTGATTCTCTCTTCTCCCCCCTCGCTTTATTTGTTTTATTTTATCCACATTTTTCTATTTTATCTTTCTCTCCCGTTCTTTCCTTCTCTTTGTATCTCACTCTCTCCTTTTACTCTCCTTTTCTCTTTCACTCTCCTGTTAATTCTTTCTCTCTCCTTTCTCACCCACTTTCACTCTCCTTTTCTCTTTCACTGTCCTTTTCTCACTCCTCTCCTTCTTTCTCTCTCCTCTTTCACTGTTTCTCACTCTTTTCTCTTTATCTCCTTTTACTCTCCTCTTTTCTCCTTACTCTCCTTTTTTCTTTTTCTCTCCTCCCTCAGTCCTTTTTTCACTCTCCTTTTCTCTTTCACTCTCCTCTCCTTTTCTCTTTCACTCCTTTTCTTTCTTTCACTCTACTCTCCCTCCTCTTTCACTCCTCTTCTCTCTCCTCCTCTGTCTCCTTTTCTCTCCTCTTTCAGTCTTTTTTTCTTTTGCTCTCTCCTCGCTCACTCTCCTTTTCTCTCTCCTCTTCTCTCTTTCACTTTTTTTTCTCACTCTTCTCTCTCCTCTCTCCTTTTCTTTTCTTTCTTTTGCCCTCACACTCTCTCCTTTCAATCTCCTTTTCTTTTTCACTCTTCTGGTCTTTCTCGCTCCTCTCTCACTCTCCTTTTCTCTTGATTTGTGTCTCTCGATTTCTTTCTTTTCTCTCTCCCCTTTCACTCTCCTTTTCTCTCTCTTCTCCTCCTCGGTCTTCTTCCCTCTTCTTCCCTCTCTCCTCCAGTCGGCGCGGTGCCCAGACAGCCACACTGCCCCCTCCGCCCCTCCATGTCTTGGAATGAAATATTCAGGTCTAAAAATACTCAGGACAAATGGTGTTCTTGGACGGTGCACAGGCTGTTTGTTTGGGAGCTTTATGAGAACAGATGCGGAGGAGCGCTCTCATCCACGCCGGGAGAGGAGGCTCCCGCTTCGGACAGGACCGAGCCCGTCACACGAAGACGCACTGCCCACGACCTCTGACCTCGGGGGGGTCAAGTGCCCGCTTACATAAACCAATTTTCCATTTTCCGTTCGACTGGTATGGCTCAGGTCATTAAGAGATGACGACCGGATGTGCAGAGTGGTTTTACAGTGCATCTCAGTACAACATTAGTGCTGCGGGCGGGCTGAGTAAATAAATAATAACAACTCGACTTAATTGGAGCCAGTTCATCATTTTTATTTATAACATTTCATGTACACATAATGAGGTTAAAGGGCGTATTGTGTTATTGTCTCATCTGAGTTATAATGTTGTTTCTAACATGAGTTAAAGCCCACAAGAGCCAATTTTGTGTAGTATAGAACCTTTAATGAGCAATCTGAAACTTCACTTCACTGTGACTGGTTAAATCCAGCTGTCGCTCACACAATACTTCGATGCTGCATTCAGGGACAGGGGCCCATCTCCAGATCTTTAAAACTTTGTTCGTTTTTTTCCTCTGTCAACTTTTAAAAACCCCATCTACAGTATTTTACAGGATCATTGCAGATGCTTTTAACACCTTTATATCTTTAATCTGCAAAGGTTTCTCTGTCTCATTTCTCTGTTCACTGTTACATGTTAGGGTTGATGTGTGAGTGTTTTCTGTTTGTACCATTTTATTCTTCCTCTTGACCAGGTCATCATCACAAATGAGAAGGTGTTCTTAATTGACTTACCTGGTAAATTTTGAATGAATAAAATCTTGAGCTAGTCTTGGTCAGGACTACCTTAGCTGGAGGATTTGACCTGTTCTTTTTTTGCGTTGATGAGATGAACCAGTGTGTCCAGAGGAAACCTACAGATACAGAGAGAACATGGAAATTCCACACAGAAAGACCTGGGCGTCATATTGATACATCACAATAAATACAATATATCGGCAAGAATATTTTTTGGAATATTTTACTGAATTATTTTGTTACAGCGCTACAGTTTTGTTAGGCAGGCTGGTGCCACCTAATGCCTCCACTCAATTTCATTTCTCTCCAGTGACTAGGTCAGGAATCAGAATACACTAGACGGTTTGCAAGAACCCCGGAAGTTATAGACCGCGCACTGGCCAATCACCAAAGAGCTGTGAAGCCGGCAATTATTTGGACATTACAGATTGGTTAAATTAAAAGTACCCGCCTACCATTGAGCGAACGAATCCTAATGCTGCGAGGTTAGAAAGTGACAAAGTGAAACCAGCTGTTGAATCAGGCTACAGTTTTGTTGCTTGTTCAGAAAAAAAAAAACTTGTTTATGCAACACATTTGATATTTTCACTCTTGAGGATTAAAATGTTTGTGCTTCATATGAACTTTGCACAAGAAGTGGCTTAACAAAGACTTTTAGCGTCACAGCCATGATTTAGCCTTTATTTTTATTGAACCGTATCGAATCAAAAGTGCACTGTATCGAAATGTATCGTATCGGCAACTTCTTAGTGATACCCTGCTCTTGTTGTCAATATTGGATTGATAAGGAATTTCCAAAATAATTATTTGGCATCGGATCGAAACAAAAATCGCTGGTTTTGTCACAACTGCTGGTGCTTATTGTTCACCCACGTCCTTCATCACTTTATCACTAGAGTCTTAACCACCATCTGTCGTCTTCTGTCCACAGATCTTCCCGGACCCGTCAGACTTCGACCGCTGCTGTAAGCTGAAGGACCGGCTGCCCTCCATCGTGGTGGAGCCGACAGAGGGCGAGGTGGAGAGCGGCGAGCTGCGATGGCCCCCGGAGGAGTTCCTGGTCAGCGAGGAAGAGGACGATGAAGACGAGGAGGAACACGCGCACAACAACGGCAACCTGCAAAACGGACAAGCCACGCAAATCTCCCAGCACTAGGCTCCCGTCCGCTCCCCCCAGCCGGCCGCCGTCTCGGTAGACTCCGACCCAAAGTGACATTCAATCACCAGACCAATTCTTCCAGCAATATTTCCTCAGCGTTCTGTCATCGATGGAATTTAAAGACACTGGTTCGAACTTTTTTTCTTCATTCTCAACAAAAACGAACTTTCTCGGATGGACCATTTTTTTTGTTTTCGCGAAAATTCTGGACAACTTTTATTTCCGTAGCACGTCAACAACATAAGCAATAACCTTTTAATTTGGCAAGGTGACTTAAATGCCTTGACGAGAGCCTTCCACTTTGTCTACCGAAAGTTTTTTTCAGCTCTTTACCCCATGGACAGACCCTCGCTGCTGGGATAAAGCTGCTCCGTGTCCTTTTTCGTTGTGGTTGGTCCCAAAGGCTTTGATTTTTGCACGTTAGCGCTGACCAGAGATTCTATCGGGGTAGAAATGGGCAGTCGGATAAACATAGATGCTAGTTTATGTAAGCTGTTAAATGAAGGGACCATTTTGTGCTTTGTTCGGCCTAAAAAAAAAGGAAGTTAAGTGGTTATGTGTATATATTGATGCCCTACAAAGCCTAATGAATGAAGGAAGTTATATAATGGGGAGTTAAAAGCTAGGAACTAAATGCTTCGATTTGGTCTTATTCGATCGTGTTTTTAAATTTGGATGCGCTCTGTAACTTTTCTGGTGTGTTCCTTACATGCCTGTCTCCATGGACTGTCATCGGTTTCCCTAAAATGTCCCACAGTATGGCATTTATTCAGTTACAAGCATCTCTATTGCTCAGATACTCATGCATTCTTTGCGTGAGCGGGGTCGCCTCTCCATAGACCTGACCTTTTTAAATTGGCCTCTGCTTGTCTCCATGGAGTTTAAGTTTAATGTCGTACTGTGGTTTAATGTCATACTGTGGAACATTCCGGACAAACCGATGGTAAATGGTCACATGGAACTCGTCACACATTCACGCACATTGGGGTAGGGCTGCTCGATCCTGGAAAAAAATTATCACGATTATTTTGGTCAATATTTTAGTTACACAATGCATTTATTCAGCATTTCTCTCTCAAAAAAGCACTTTGTTATTGATAATTTACGCCGGAGTTTCAAAATGTTAAAAAAAAGACTACAAATATCTAACTTAGAGCAGTTTTGCGATGTATAAAACATAAAATGGGAAAAAATATATATACTTAATAATCCACTTTCACAGTTTCCGAAGTGCTGAAGAAATACAAACTAATAATAATATAATGATAAAATAAACACTCAGATTTAATCATACTAGTCCTAAAATAAAAGCAAAACCATAGAATAGCAATAAATAAATTAAAATATATTAAAAATCAATAAAATAAATAAAGACACAGAGGACCACACAACAAAATCCAGAGAGTAAAAGTCGATTTTAAGACGGGACTTCAAACACTCTGTGCGGACATGATTTATCCAGCGGTTCTACAATCTCTACATTTAAAAAACAAAATAAATATACTTATTTATGTAAAAAAATATTCTAAAATAAATTTGAACATAAAGTATTTCAACTCTATTATGAGTTTGGAGATCGTTTGACACACAAATCAAAATTGCGATCAAAAAGCAATTAAATGCAAAGACTTACATTGGGCGGAGGTGAGTTAAGTGTCTTGCCCAAGGACACAACAACAGCATTGGTCTGAGGGAGCTGGATTGCCGCCACCAACCTCTACCACTACTACGATGTTTATGTTGAAAGCGGGATTCGCTCCATCAACTTTCGAGTACTTTAGAGCGACTTTTCTGTTGACAGACCCACTAGAAATGTTCCACAGTGCATCTTTACGACAACAAATGCGTCCTTGTTTTCTGTGATTATGTCGTTCATAATCGGGAACCACTTCTATGTTGCCAAAAAATGTTATTGTCGAAACAGAATAATTTCCATCATTTTCAGTCTAACTTGCGCAGATTTGTCTTTTGGTGAAACGTATCTCTGTAACTGCTGTTTTTAAATTCCGTCTTGTAACCGTTTTGTGAATTGTCTCGTTGGTAATTTTTTCATGTTAAATATTATCCATTTCACTTGCAATAACTGTCCGGTTTGTCTGATTTGTGGCCTTATGTTTAATAATTTCCGCAAATGTTCATTGAGAAGAAGGCGTACCAGCATATTCTACCTATGTATATTTTAAAAAGTCTGGCAATGTTGTGAGTGAACTGGTGAAAAAATGTTCAAGACTTTATTTCTTTTATTGTGGGACGATTATGAAAATTGTAAAAAGGAAAAAAAAATTGCAATGTACAGACTCCATGAAGAATATTTGTAAATATTTGTAGTTCTTTGTATTATTAGAAAAGTAGCGTGATTTCCTCTGGGTGGTTTGTATTAAAAATAAAAGTCTTCCTTTTTGCAAACATTTTATATTGTCGTAATATGATTTAGGTGTGGGCAGTATTTCCAAAACAGTAATATTAACCAGCATGTGTTCACTTTAGGGACACAATTTCTACAAATCGAGAAGACAGGAGATTAACCCTGCGTTCGATCATCTTCCGACTCCCATTGGACGTCAGATTTGATGTCGCGTCCAAGCTTGAAGCGTGTTTTATGTCGGACTACGTGGATTATGATTGACTGTTCCCTCGTTTTATGAAAACGCTGCCACTTTAATTTAGTTTATGAAATTTGCACTTCATTTTATGTTACGATTTCTCTTCCGTTACAACCTTAGGGACGTTAATGCCTGTTAAAACAACTTGTTCAATATTAACCTCACCACAACACCGACTACCAAACCCACAGGGAGAAATGGACGCAGTAAAATATTGCAGTAATAAAAGTGAATGAAATTGTCATTTAAACCACCAAAGTGTCCAAACACAATGAAAACAGTTCATATTTACATGTCACAGTGGATGTAGCCATGTCGACTTCTGACTTGGAATCCTTGCTCTGTCTGCTTTTTCTGCCATGAGTTCTGAGTTGCACCGTCCCAGGAAAAGTCGTGTCACGCGTGTCACTAGGCGACTTCCTCGGAAAACCGATTCGGAAGGATAATCGAACGCAGGGTCAGTCCACAAGAATGAAATTTTAATATAATTTTTAATACATGAGCTGTGCTTTTCAGTTCACCATTTTGTAGATTTGTTGTCATTGTAGCGCTGCTTTTTGGAATTGCTTCTCAAGAGGAAATACTCTGCAAAGTTAACCCTTTTTATCTAAGGCAAACGTACAAATATGAGGGGGAAAAAAATCTCACAAGATCATTTTCCACATGTGTGCACGATCTTGTGGCAATTTCATCTTGCTAGATCTTGTGGTACAAGATCTTATCCCATCCCTAGTTTAACATTTTGTCTTTTTAATAACTTATGTATGATTTGGCTTTTTAATATGAATTTGGAAGAAATATTTGTCAGCCCTTGCCAAGCATGAATGATGCTGTGTCCACACTAACTTTAATTCTTAGCAAATAGTTATTCACAGCAATGAGGTTATAAAGACTTTTCACACCTCTGAGACCACACGGCAAATCTAACTACAAATACACTTCCTGATTATCAGACAATAAAATGCTTATTTGGACACAGAGGCCACATGAAGAAATTGAAAATGTCATTTTCCATTTTCCAAGTCTGGAAAAGTCATGGAATTTTGTACATTCAACAAAAGTTTTGGAAAAAGTCATGGAATTTTCATGTATTTTTCTCGCAACTAGAGCGTTCTTGTTAAATCATTAGACCAGGCATGTCCAAACTATGGCCCGTGAGCCAAATGCGGCCCTCAGACAAATTTTTATTGGCCCTCAGGCTTGCAGGTAAATTGGCCCAAATTATATGGCATCAATGAGAAATTTACTTTTTACTGCATTTTTTTTTTAATCTAATTTGATAAAGCTAATATTTAATAATTAGTGTGTGGTTTTAAAGATCTTAGCATGAATAAAGACTGATGGATCATTCTGACCTGTTTGCACATATTTCAATTATTCACTGTATTAAGCACCAGTCTATGGCCCTAAATCTGCCCTCTGCTCCATCTGTGTTTAGATATGTGGCCCTTGATGAAAAAAGTTTGGACACCCCTGCATTAGACTATTATGATTATTTCCGAACGTCTGCGCCTTTTGTTTAAAAGAGACGACAATAAATAAATGCACTGACAGGATTTTGAATGTTAAAAAACTATAGTACCAAACCATAAGATGAGTGGAAAGGGTTAACATTTCATATTTAGCCCTAAAAATCTGATCAATTTTATACATGTAGGTGCTGTAAAGTCATGGAAAATTCACTTTAGGTCATGAAAAAGTCATGGAAAAGTTTGTCAGTGAAAAAGATTGGGAACCCAGAACAAGACACAATAGCGTAACATGAGCCCTTTAAATAAGACAAGGTTTGTTTAGCTTTAAGGTACGATGTAGGCACCTGATACGAACAGTACAATGACACTGTGTACCGAACATCTCCTGTCTTACTTGTGTCTGCCTGCAGGTTCTGTGTTTGTGTAAAGTTTAAGGACATGCACCGCCGCCATCTTGTTTTTTTTTTTGTTTTTTTTGTTTGTATCTCGAGCGCTTTGTGAAACTGTAAATAAACATTTGCTACCCGACTGTGCGCGGCCTCACCTGCTCTCACTTCCTGCCCTGTTTCTCACATAGCTGCAGTTCTAACCAATCTAACCAGCGGCATTTCAAACCAGGCCACATGCTGCTTCCTGTCTTTGACTGTTTCTGCACACAGCTCTTTATCTTCTTGTAAATGCAGTTATAGATTTAGTGTAAAGTGTAGCCTACATAAAAAACTACACGTATATTGCTTATTTCATATCATTTGAAATACAGAATTAGATCAAATATGAAATTCTGGAAATAAATTGAGCGTTTTTTTGTCACTTTATATTAGTTTATGCTGTCAGTCTGGAGAAGGGTGTGGCGGCCATTGAGGTTAAAGGGCCAATATTGAGCTATTTTCAGATTTATGATATAACGTTTCCTCATCACAAACAGACCTGCAGTTGTGTTCTGTTCCAGTGTGTGATGTCATGTTGTGATACAGGAAGAGCTCCACTGTGTTTTTAAACTCCATACACCTTCATTAGAAACACTTGGATGATTTCAGTTCTGGAATTTCCCATCTCTGCAGAACTAAAGGTAAAAGGAGTTGTTAACTTGTAAACTACCACTTCATGACAGAGTATTTTGAGCTTTGGAGATGTAGACAAACTAATCATAAAGAGTTAGTCAAACAATGACTGAAACTAAATTAAGTAACGGCATTCTAACATAGAAACTTTGTGTTTTCTTCTAATAAGACAACTTTGTAAAAAGCAAAGTATCTTATTTATCTGACACGTTTGGGCGGCAGCACTCGTCACCTTCGTCAGAGGTGTCACTGCTGTGTTTTGTCTCTGATCAGCTGTTGTTCAGGCGTGGTGGTTTCTGGAGAAGCGAGCCCCATGTGTGCGCCGATGTAAACGCCCCCTTGTCTCTGTTGATGGTCCATGCGTCCTGCTTTCTGATTTTAAAAGCCTCTTGTATCCATCTTTTGGATTCGTGCTCCTCTGTTCCTACTATTTTAGTTCTGTCCCAGTCATGACATGGTTTTCTCTTTTGCAGTGGTCACATATTGTAGATTTTAGTTTTTCTTTTCGATAGGTGTGGTCACTGACGAAGGCAGAAGTGCTACTGCCATGTCAGGTAAATGAGCTATTCAGCTTTTTACAAATTTGTCTTATTAGAAAACACAAAGTTTCTATTTAACTAGCAAACAAAACAAATTTTCTAAACATAAGACATTCTAACATGGCTTAACCCTCACACGAGTCCATTTTGCATAATATAAGACCTTTAGAGTGCCAATGGAGAGTGAGTTAACTGCAGTGAACTTATTGTCATTACAAATGGCTACTATGGGCCTACCTTAAAAATACAACATGTAACTTTTCTGTTAGAGTTTTTGACACTTGCTTGAATTCATGAAGATATACGCAATAAATTCTTGCTCTAAGAACGTGATTTGACCTGTAACTTGGTCTGGAAGTGTCATCTACTTCAAGTTAAATTTCATAGTGTAGAACATTATGGGCAAAGCAACATCATCTGAATAGAGACACGCAGGGGCAGGTCTCATCTAGAAATAATACAAAGCATTACAAGTAATACAAAACATTACATTGTGAATGAAACAAAACACAACTCCAAGTCTGTTTGTGATAAGGAAACAACATTATAACAGATCAGGAAATAACGTAAAATGAGCCCTTTAAGCTCAACTTTGACAGGGAAAGTACCAGAACCCACCCTTACATTATGAGAACACTTCATTTCCACACACGCCCTCACACAAAGCTGGAATCACAATTAATGTTTTCCATAAATGTCACGGGAGAATCTTACTTGGAATCTTTGAATAGACAATGGAAAAAAAAACAATCTTCCTGGAATAACTACATACATAAATATAGATGCGTCATGTGCTGCACTGTGTAACTTTTTGGTTTGGGGCCCATCACCTGCTTGTTTCTATGGAGATGTCATTGCTCTGCCTGGAAATGTTCCATAGTATGATATTAAACAGCTCTAACCTTACATTTATTCAATTAGAAGTGGTTTTATATCTCAAAAATGCATCGAAAACAACATTCTGACTGTGAGCGGGGTCGCCTCTCCACAGATCTGACCTGTAACTTGGTCTGGTTTGGTCATGAAGATAGACAGAAAGGTTTAATGCCACACTGTGAAACTTTCCAGGTGAAACAATTACATATTTATAGCTCAAAAATGCATCAAAAACAGCATTCTGACTGTGAGCGGGGTCGCCTCTCCACAGATCTGACCTGTAACTTGGTCTGGTTTGGTCATGAAGATAGACAGAAAGGTTTAATGCCACACTGTGAAACTTTCCAGGTGAAACAATTACATATTTATAGCTCAAAAATGCATCAAAAACAGCATTCTGACTGTGAGCGGGGTCGCCTCTCCACAGATCTGACCTGTAACTTGGTCTGGTTTGGTCATGAAGATAGACAGAAAGGTTTAATGCCACACTGTGAAACTTTCCAGGTGAAACAATTACATATTTATAGCTCAAAAATGCATCAAAAACAGCATTCTGACTGTGAGCGGGGTCGCCTCTCCACAGATCTGACCTGTAACTTGGTCTGGTTTGGTCATGAAGATAGACAGAAAGGTTTAATGCCACACTGTGAAACATTCCAGGTGAAACAATTACATATTTATAGCTCAAAAATGCATCAAAAACAGCATTCTGACTGTGAGCGGGTCGCTTCTCCACAGATCTGACCTGTAACTTGGTCTGGTTTGGTCATGAAGATAGACAGAAAGGTTTAATGCCACACTGTGAAATTCCAGGTGAAACAATTACATATTTATAGCTCAAAAAATGCATCAAAAACAGCAT